GGAGGAAATTGCTGACAACAAATAGTAAATAAAAATAAAGAAATATGGTGAAATATAAAACCATCTTGAGGTCCATAACATAACTAAGCATTGTCTAACCATGTTTTTTGGTATACTTTGTTGTTAAATAACTCACCTAGTATAGCAAAGGTCGTCAGCAAACCAACTCTAAAGCCCACTAAGAAAGATCCTCCAACAGCCAGCCCGTGAGTGAAGTTGTCTATGGAATTAGCCATCAAGTTGAGATAACCAGCCACCTGGAATATAAACAGTAATCATTTAGATAAGTAATATATTAAAGGAAATGATATTATAAAAAACTAGATGTAGCTCGCGACTTCGGCCGCGGGAAAATAAAAATATAGCTTATGTTATTCACAGATAAATTATCTTTTTAACGGTGAAAGAATTTTTAAAACTGGTTCAGTAGTTTTCGAGTTATTTCAACTGGACGGATTTAAAAATTATTACAGCATTAAAAAGCTATCTTAACACTGAGTAACATAGGCTACATTTTTACTATTTTTAATTTCACTCGTGCGAAATCAAGCCAGTATATCATACTAATATTATATATGCAAAAGTTTAGATGGATGGATGTTAGAGTTTGTAGCCTAAACGGTTGAACGGATTTCGGTGAAATTTGACATAGACCTAGATGGTAGTCTAGAAGAACACATAGGCTACTTAGATTTGTTTTTTAATTCGAGGCGGACGGAGACGCGGGCGAAAGCTAGTAAATAAATATAGAAGAGAAGTAACTCACGTCCTTCTTGTCAGTCTTCTCTTTGCTGAGCTGGTGCGCCTTCTCCCGCGCCTCCCGCAGCAGGCAGCGGCCCATCCAGCGACTGCTGCCCTTGCACTTCACAGCGCCGTTGCTGGACACCGCACTGCAGCAGCCGCCCTCACCTGCTCACAAACCACGAACACTTAGTTAAAATTACAATATTAGCGTTACCACGCCCTGGGAGAGATTTCTTCAGCATCAGATTTAATTGAAAATTTATTTAAATTGCATGAACGAAGTCACGAGAAAAAGGCAGTATAATAAAAGACAAACGTTAATTCCTTCAACATCTTTTCACTATTGTACTGATATTTATATTTGGTAAAATTTCTTGTAATTCTGCGTGAACGAAGTCACCGGAAAAAACTAGTATAGTAGAAAACAAATGCTAAATAAAACGAAGTAACCGTTTATTGACATTTAGCTACAGAGGGGCGTACATAATTACTGTATTCTCTCTTCTTATGTACCCTTCCTCGTCAAAAGCACCTCGTTTCTGTACGGATAGTTTGGATTGATTGATGGATGTTAGAATTTGTAGCCTAAACTGCTAAACGAATCTCGATGAAATTTGTCATAGATGTAGAGGACAGTCTGGAACATATAGGCTATTTAATTTTGCTTTTTTAAGTCCACGCGGAGTAATGGGCGAAAGCTAGTATTACAATAAATTGAACAAACCTTTAGTATTATTATTAAAAACACACGTATCGTACAACTGCTTCGCAGTAACAGTTCCATTCCCACATAGTCCGCCATTCTCCTTCCCTCTGCTCTTCCTCTCCGCTACCAATAACTTCTCTATCTCTTCAATCTCTATCTGCTTGATGGGTCCGTTAGGTTTCTCTTCTTCTTCTTCGTGAGCTTCCGCAGCAGCGAACAGCTTCTCCACCACGATGAACACCAGCATACCGAATAAACACCAAAGCCCACATTTCATAGATACATGTTCGCCTTCTGGAAAGAAAGTCAAGTCTGTAGGAGTTACAGAAGGTCACCCGAAAAGGGGGGAAAGTGGGTACTTCAAGTTATATAGGTCGTCGTAGAAAAGATCTTACTGTAAGTTTTCATTTATTTCACATTTTGTCCGTTAAGGATGGGAGAAGCTGCTCTAGATTTCGCCAAATTAGCGAAGGCATTATAGATTCGTTACGTTATAAGTTAAATAGATGACAAATTATATCAGGCCCTGATCTCTGATGTGTTTATTGGATTTATTGAACTAGCGAAACGTAAACGAGTTTTTTTACATCAGATTAGAAACCTCTAAAATTATCTGTATTTCTCTACTTTATCTTACTTCTTGGTAATATTATAAATGCTAAGTTTAGATGGATGGATGGATGTTTGTTAGAGCTTGTAGCCAGCCTAAACTGCTGAACGGAACTCGATGAAATTTGGCATAGATGTCTATACATACTATCCTATGATAGTCTGGAAGAACACATAGGCTTAATTTATTTTTTAATTCCAAGCGGACGGAGTTGCGGGCGAAAGTTAGTGATAAGTATATTACATATAAACCTCCATCTTGAATCACTCTTTCTATCAAAATAGCATTAATATCAGTTACGTAGTTTTAATGATCTAAGCATTATTAGGACAAACAGACAGATTTTGTTTTATACTTTGTGTGCAAAGGAATTACCATTTGTCTATAGTTTGTTCTTCCCCATTATCAGACTATTACAATAGTTATTTATGTATAAGTTCAAAAGGTTACATGTCCATTTTTCATTACTATTAGAGATATGATAAATCCCAAGGGACTTCCCATTTCAATCATACTAATATTATAAACGAGCTGTTGCCCGCGACTTCGTCCGCGTGGTATTAGAAAACATACGAACTATATAAATTACAAAAAGCTACGTATCCCTCGGGAACCGGACATTTCTCTAGGATCAAGTTTATCTGTGTACTCCAGACTTTGTTTTATATCTGTGCCAAATTTCAATACGATATATAGTGAACATTAAAAAACTAAATAAATGAATCCCACGGGAACCGTAACTATTCCCGGGATAAAAAGTAGCCTATGTGTTCTTCCAGACTATGCTCTAAACCTGTGCCAAATTTCATGGAGATCCGTTCAGCCGTTTAGGCTACAAACGCTAACAAACATCCATCCATCTATCCATCTAAACTTTCGCATTTATAATATTAGTAAGATGCAAAAGTTTAATTGATGGATGGATGTTTGTTAGTTTGTAGCCAAAACGGATAATCGGATTTCAATGAAAATTGGTATAGATGTAGAGGATGGTCTGGAGGAACACATAGACTATTCACTTTTTTTTTCCACGCGGACGGAGTCGCGGGCGGCAGCTAGTTATTTTATATATTCAGGCGTGTCACAGTCCACTTGATAAATATACCCAGACAATAAACATTTGATAACGTGAATTAAATGCAATTGTTTTGAAAAGGTTTATGATAATAACATCATTATTAAATAAATTGGAATAAAAGTTTTGTTAACTAGCTGTTGCTCGCGACTCCGTCTGTGTGGAATTAAAAAAATAGTAAAAAACAGCCTATGTTATTCAGTGATAACGTAGCTAGTAGTTTTTGGGTTATTGCTATACATATAAAAATACAAATCTTGTATCTTTATAATATTAAGTACCAGGTATTATTGGTAAAATCCATACATATTGTGAAATTATTTTTGTATTCGATAAAAAATTTGTTAAGAAATGTTAAGAGATCTTTAACATCAATCCTCATCCAAAGGGACTAAGTAGAAATAAACTTATAAACTCAGTGTACTAATGACATATTCATTTTGCCATAATTCTTTCATTAATTTAACATTTTCTTTGTCATTTTAATCTCATTATTGTATAAATGTTTTCTAGATAATAAAAATGTTTATTTATTTGATTTATTTACTGTAAACACTTAATAAACGATACGATGACACTGAATTCCGGTAATACATTTCTTTGTTTACCCTCGTTTGTATGACTATGACGTGCTCGGAACACAAAACCTATACGACCACGCGGTAATAACGGTTCATAGTAACATCGACTTTATTACAAACGCAATAAAGTTCATTACATAAAACATCAACGTTAGTAGGAACTGAATTTTATAGCAAAAATTTCTTTATTGGATTTTGTACTTTATTTTGTAGGGCTTAAGAGTTAGATTTGAAATCTGCAATGTAGTGGTAATTATGATAAGCTTGCAACACAAAACCTATACATTGTTTGAATGTGTGTATTTCTAATGGGAAGTAACGATGTGTGTGTGCACTTGACAATGGATTTTTGTACAACGAGCATTTCACATTAAATAATTTAATTTATTTAACGAAAACATATGTTTACTAGCTTTCGTCCGCGACTCTGTATGCGTGTAATTAAAAATAAACAAAACTGAGTAGCCTATATGTTCTTCCAGACTATCCTCTACATTTGTACCTAATTCATCGAAATTCAACCGTTTATGCTACAAACTCTAACAAACATCCATCTAAACTTTCGCATTTATAATATTAGTATGAATTGAAAGAACGTGCTGAAAACAGTGTTAGCTTGATGGTAATAATAGAATTACGTAAATAACTTTAAACACTTGTTTAAACACATAAATAAATAATACATCTTTCGGTATTTTAATAAATTAATGCTTTAGCTACGTCTTATTTTTTAAATTAATATCGGCAATGTTTTTAGGATCCTTTTTTAGTATTTGACCATCCAGAATTAAGTCAGTATAACGTAAGCTAACAGCCGTACTTGGAGTATATATATATATATTCATTATTGTTCGCGACTTCGTCGACGTGAAATTTAAAAATAGTCTAGGTTACTGAGCGATAACATAGCTTTTAAATAGTAAAAGAATTTTGTAAATCGGCCCAGTAGTTTTTAAATTGTTTCAATACATACAAAAATCTAAAAATAAAATTCTCTCCTCTTTATAATATTAGTATAGTTATAAATTTGCTAAGTGACCACTTAACATTTGCACTAGTACCTTTAGTATTGGCCAAATCATGTTGCCAGGCTTCAGGTAACAGATGTAAGAAGACATCGCCGAGTAGACCGCCCACCGCGAAGCTCAGCAATATCCTCAAGGTTGCAGCACCAGCTGGAAAAAAACACAACATATTGGTAGTCTACCTTATGAAAAGACGTTAAATAGATGCCACAATGGCAGTCATCGCTGTGTTACTGTCTTACTGGCGTATCTCTAAGAGCTCATTCAGAGATTGGTCAGTGCAAAATACAACCTCTTTGGCTGACAAGTGTGAATACAGCCAAAGAGGTTGCATACTGGCCACCGAGACATTACATTTAAGTATTAAAGTAAAGATGAAAACAAAAGAGATGGAAAAGACGCATGCAAGAAGTCAAGATGTAATCGTGATAGTTTAAAGTTGTTTTAGTTTAAGAAATGTTTTATTTCATATTTTTGGCTGCCGCGCTGTCGGTAACAGAGATTACACTTTTAACGGGAGATAGTTTGGTCGGAAAATCGGTGTACTTATGCTCAGTTGCTGAAGTTTCGATTTATTTTACCAAGTGATTCATTAGTTAGAAGTTAGTTTCTTCGTTAGTAAGTAGTTCGGAAACGCATTTCATGAAGTTATCGAACCAAAAACGCTATCGAACGGTTAAATATAGCTGAGAAATCGGCTATTACGCATCCAACTAAACTGTCGGCCAATAAAAAATCTTTAGTCTGCGAGCCACAGTACATATTTAATTTGAAGTCTATACTCGTTAGTGAAATCTCGATTTTATTTTAAACTGATTTCGTAAGTTGCTATTTTTTGAACAACATCTACAGAGTACATACTCTTGGTCCGTAATTTTTTGTAATTTATTTTTATTTGCGTTTTTTTAAGTAGCTATTTAGAGTGCTGACCTATCATGAGTAAAATTATACAAAGTGATAAAAATAGTAATCGCTTGATAATTTGTATTGCTCTTATCAAGCGATTAAACAACTTCTAATTGTTGTTATCTATATTTACAAGTGCTGTGATTTAATCTTTATAATCTATTAAATAAATATAAAGATTAGCTGGTAGCAACTTTACAAGATATAATAAAGAGATAATTGGTCTAATTTCAATGCTTCCTAAAATCTAACTAATATCTATTCATATTCATCCGCATAAAACTATGAAAATTTAATTTTATTGTTTACATGTGTCAAATTATCAATTGCAAATGTCAAAATGACATGACGATGACAAATCATGGCAACCTTGCTTAATAATATAAAGGGAATAATGTTCCCGTGCGGCTTCATCCGCATGAATTTATGAAAATTTTATTTGATTCTTTACATTTGTGAAATTATTAATAGCAAATGTCAAAATGACATGACATGACAAACCTTAGCAATCTTGCTTTCTTGATGTTGGCAACAACTTATGGTCCCTTTCCCACATTAGGGTTTTTATCCAAAATATTTACCCCCTAAGTTTAGTGGCGTGAAAAAATATAGCCTAAAGGGTGACGTAAGTGTATGGCTTTTTATTAAAAGAATCTTCAAAAATATGCTGTAATTGCTGACATCTTAGGCAACAAAGAAGTGTGTGTTTACGCTTTATAATAATACTAGCTTTCGCCCGCGACTCCGTTCGCATGGAATTAAAAGAAACAAAAGTAAGTAGCCTATGTGTCCTTCCAAACTATCCTCTACATCCATACCAAATTTCATAGAAATCCGTGAAACCGTTTAGACTACAAACTTTAATAAACATCTATCCATCCATCCATCTAAACTTTTGCATTTACAATATTAGTATGAAGTATAGATATAAAATGGGCTGCTAATTTACATGCAGAGTTGAATCAATAGTTCAAGAGTGTTGAATCGGTTAAGATCTGATTTACTAGTCTACTCACAAGACATCTCTGGCGTTTTTGATATATAAAACAATGTGTATTGTCAAGTATATTATCGGTCATCTGTGTCAATGACTGAATTATCTCCATCTCGTTGCTATCAGCGAGTGCAGCCTCTCACGTACTGATAACTTACAGACAGACCCGATAATACTATAGACCTTCGCTAATGTACTCTAGAGGTCAAAGTTACGAAATACAATCGTTACTACTTGACCAATGATTTTTTGTCTATGTCAGGTACTTTTTTTTATCGTAGACACGTTTATGTTACTGGTTAACCAATGTACAGTCGGATGCATACGAACTAAAGAAACTTGTAAAGACCTTTAGTTTTGAAAAAATAAATTCGTTCAATCGCATGTATTGATGTCGGAAGCATACAAAAGGACAAGCAGACAGACGTGAAAAGGGAGCAATTCCGCGTTTCGTCTGATGAGTGTGGTGCTGGAGGTCCAACTTTAGTCCCTATAAAATGATGGGAAGATAAATGGATTTGACACTGGAGGAGATGCATTGGAAGGGGAAATATTCTCATTATTTGCGTTTCCTCCTCCTTCGATTAAGGCTAGGTAACGCATCCGTTATTGCGAATGTCTATGGGCAGCAGTCGCTTCGCCATTTTGGCGGATTCAGGTGGTCGCTTGGTCATTTGCAAATTTACTATATTATGGCTATATAAAAATACAAAAGAATAAGTGCTGGCATATTTTTGAAACCAAAGGCATATACAAGTTTCTGAAGTTTTACAAATGTATACAACATTTATGCAGCTAACTGTACAATCTACCTGAGCCACTGGGCCTTTGTTATGTTGTTGATTTGGACTATATGTATTTTAAAATGAACTATAAATATTTACAAGTTATTTAAACGTTTACTTTCCTACCTTAACACTGTCCAAATTAATCTTCTTAAAAAAATGGTATAACTATTTAAGATCAATAAAAATCAATAAATACGTAGACGAGATAAGAATTGATACGTTAGATCAAAAATGCCAGATGCACATTTTTTTTCCATTTGGATATAATTTTTTACCTACCCTCTTTTTTGTACTAACGATGAGGATAACAATGAACTTGTAACTTGCAAAGTTAGACAATCTACACCTAGAAAATACTAAATAACCATGTCATAAGATTCACTTTCCCATGTTCCGTCAAGTGAAGTCAAGAAATTTCCGTTTACTTTATTCATAAGATAAAAATATTGAAAGCTTATTAATACCGTTATCGTACATAACTCGTCGTCTGTCAATAATATGTACAATTTATTTATATACTCTAACCAGGATACATTTCTTTATTATATGATAAAAACAAATCTATACTATTATAATAAAGCGCAAAAACACACACTTCTTTGTTGCCAGATGTCAGCAATTACAGCATATTTTTGAATAATTCCTTTTTTAATAAAATGTTCTACACTTACGTCACGCTTTAGGCTATATATTTTAACGCCATTAAACTTAGGGGGTAAATATTTTGGATAAAAACCCTAATGTGGGAAAGAGACCATAAGTTGCTGCCAACATCAAGGAAGCAAGATTGCCATAATAAGGTAATTGGGGTTTTGACATTTGAAATTTAGAATTTGACAAATGTAAACAATAAAATGAAGTTTTTTATAATTACATGCGGATGAAGCCGCATGGGAACAGCTAGTATTTCATATTTACTTTTGGTCATTACCGAGGTCTCGATTCGCCAAGTATTTTTAATCCGAGAGAGAATATTTCAGAGTAAAGAATTCTAAGAATTACAAACCCATTCGAACCCATGTCCGAAACATGCAAAAAGAATTGATGGTTGTGGAAAAAACAATAAAAAAGAGCAGGCTAAGGGGCATATCGGAATAATACAGCCGAAGTTCTGTCACGGTAATTCCAACAGAGAAAAAAACAATCTCAGAAACGCAATTAAATTAATTAACAAATCCTCTAGCGATATGTAATTTAGAGAAAATGTTAATTTTATCGAAGTTTAAATGGCTATTTCACGGTTCGTTCGGCGTAAAATGTTGCGCACATCTGTGGCTCCCTGATAACGTAGTTAGATGGAGAAAATGTGAAAATCACGACCAGGAAAATCGAAATAATACAATTCAATAAACTAACTAGAAACATGAGAGAAGTGTAACTTGGGGAGTGTGTGCCACCATGATTTGGAGCATACGGCTTAACTTATTTTGTAATGTTAATGGCAACTCTTGTTTTTTTTTTAATAAGTTACAAATTAACAACGAGACTCTTAAATGAGTGATTTAAAAGTTAGTAACTAGGTCTTTTTGTTATCTTAATACTGTTCTAATGGCACATTTTGACGAAAAATTGTAGCAAAAAAAATTAGCCTTTTAGGTCTCCCAGACTATGTTCTATTTCAGCCTCCGTTCTGGAGATGCGTAGTAAAAAACATACATCCATCTAAACTATCGCATTTATGATATTAGTAAAAAGTAAGACATTGAAATCTGGATAAATTCTGAAAAATAACAGCTCATAGTAACATTGCGACGAAATGATAGAATTTCGTGTTTCAATAATATTTTTAGTTTCTTTCGTAAAGTGATTGATCTGTGATACAAAGCAAGATAATATCGTAGTTTTTCTTATCGCTGTAGAAATCGGCACTGTCCGAAATTGTTTGGGAAATATCGCAATGTTTCGTAATTTGACGCAATCGTTAAGATTTTCAAGTGCTCTCCGTTAAACACTGTACTGCAATAGGGTAGTCAAACACAGAAACAATAATATCGAATGATAAATTATTAATCATATTGTAAATCCTATTTTACTGTTATTCTGTTATAATACAGATCATAATTACCATAATACCTTTGGATGGATGGATGTTTATTAACAGATTTCGATGAAATTTGGCATACATAGAAAGAAAGAACACACAGGCTACAAAATTTTTTTTCATTCCCAACGAACGAATTCGCGTGCAAAAGCTAGTATAAAAAAAATGTGAAAAACCGTTTTACCTTTGAACGAATATGCTGGGAATAACTATCTTATACATTCCAGTGGCCTTGATTCTTAGAAACTCGATTTTAAGTAATCATTTTTTATTCCTGGATGTACTCATAAGATATGTAATAATAAAACGAAATAACCTATTACTACGGATTTTCAATGAAACATGTATCACAAATAAACCTCTATTATTTTTCAAAGAGAATAAGAAATTATAAAAATATTTTTAAACAAAAAATAAAAATTGAGGCACATCTTCTTGAAATCTGGAATTTCTTATGACATTACAAACAGATGCTCTAATTTTATTATATGTATAGATGGATTCCAGAGTTTCAGAAATACACCTTCGGTTTCAAAAAGATTTATGCCCACATAGATACCTTTCCAATTATTAATTCCTCTTATTGTATCAAATATTTGTACACAAATGTGTACAACTAAAAAAAAAAATTGTACCCAAATGTGTACAAACATTTGATTGAGACTTTCATCAGGTCTTAATACTAAACAATAAACTTTAATGAAGGAAGTTAAAATTCCCAGGCTAATTCCATAGTTTACATAATACTAGCATCAAAATGTTTAAAGTATACATCCTGATTATGTTTTGATTAGTCAAAATGTATATTAATACATTCTCTGTTTTAACTGAGAATATGGCTTGACTGTAAATAAATAAAATAAAATAAAAATCCTTTATTGATCTAACAGTTTAGTACAGTTAGTGGGACTCTGTCTCCTGAGCTAGTAATAACTGTGTTTCCGGAGCCAGCGTCTTCTTTTAACAATTGTCTTGTGGAATTTAAAATACATGGTTACAAAATACTGTAAATTTAGGTATTCTGTTTCAAGCTTTAAAACCAGTGGTGGTGCAAGAGACAACTCAACAACCACAGGGCTGGCTTTAATATAGGGTAATATTGGGCTGCCCAGAAAATACAGAATAGAGTGCTATGGTTCTGCGAATTACAGTCTGCTAACCCCATCTTTAAAATGCTAAAAAGTGGCTGTCATATAAATCTCACTGACACTGGTAGCACTCAATATGGTACTGATTAATCATTTTGCAATTACTAAACAGTGATTCTGAGTACCAAAGATTGGACAAATATTTAACAAGATAAATATTAAACTCCAAGAATGAATGATAGATAGAGATAGAGACAGACAAACAGAAGAAAGGAAAAAATGTCAGATTGGGAAAGGTTTCTTTTTTTGTAGATTTTTTAGGATGTATGATTATTTAACAATCATTTATGGTTTATCCCTTATCCTACAAAAACACAGTCCTAAACTAGATAAGAGGTAAATTGCCAAATGTTTTACATGAGATGAATAGGATAGGATTGGATGAGGTGATGGTAGGAAATTTAAACTACAATTAGTAAAAGAATTCAAAAAATGTAACCAATTTTTACCCTATTGAAATATAAACATAATGTCACATTTTATTTTATTTCTTATTTCTACCTTTTGAAAATAATGTCGCTAATAACAAAATAGATTACATTCCGTTTTTCAACATAATTAGCCGAAATGTATTTAAATTATTTGTAAACTTCGCAGTAAATGACATTGTATGTAAAACAAAGAACCGGCGCCAATCCAAATGACGATTCAAAGTTATAAATAATACGCATTTCCTAAACATTAATGTACTTACCTCCGTCTTTAAACGTCGCAGTTTCATCGATTGGTATGATCAGCAAAGGCAGAATACCACTTAAACCAACTAAAATCGAAGCTAAAGCTGAAAATAGCCACGGGTGTTCGTCCAATTCTCCAACGAAATTCCAAATATATTCCGGAACAAATCCCGCCATAACTGAGGTTTCCATAATTAAAAGTTTCCAAGCACGTGTATTAAATTGAAATTAATTAAAACACGAGCTTTTTCGATCTATAGCTTGTTAGTTATGATATTCTCTCATATTTATCCGAGATAAAATGATTCTCTCCTGACGAACTAATCTGCACTGAGATTGAGAACGCCCGATCGTGTCCTTATCTTCACAGATTAGTGATAAAATATCACACTCCTACCACACCGGTTTCGAAATTTAACTGCACAAAATTCCGTTATATCAACATCATTTTTTATATTCAGGAACAAAACAAACAGTTAATTTTCTGCGGAGATGTAAAGCAAACCGGCTGCGATACTTGCTGGAATAAAATGAAGAATTTATTCGAAATTCATAGATTGAAAACAATTGAATGAGCGAAATGGTTAGTTTTGTTTTGAATGATAACTAAAGTGAATGAGTATGGAACGGAAAATGACATTAGAATTGACAGTGACATTTAAAAATGTTGCCATTATCCAAATCTAACGCCTTTGGTCAATTTCTTAAATATTAGTAATATTTGTCATTTTATCATCATCTAAGATAGCGTAGAATTTTCAACTTTGATGTTGAAATGAAAAAAAAACAAGAGAAAACCAAAGAGGATATAATATAAAACGAGACTGTACCTTTTACAACAGCGCCATCTTTAATACAGCTATCATACTAAGATTATAATATCAAAGTTTATTCAAATTGTTGTGAGAAACAACCGCTGGAGGTAATTTGAGTGCAATACATTTGAAAATATTTTCAAATATTAGACCTCACATGAGGCAATGTGTGAGACTTTGAAGACATAAAATAATTGATGAGTGCTAAATAACCATTTTTACCTAGTCTAGTATTTTTTTGTAGACATCTTTTTTGGTTTAACGACAATATTGTACCGTCAAAACGGATGTTAAATCTGAAACCACTATATTGTGTTTAAAGAATAATTAATTTCCCATTAAATGTCTGCCGCGTGAGACAGACACGGTTCGATGCCAGATGGACGGGTTAATACGTCCGTCCGTCAGTCACTCTGACATGATTGCAATACAAGTCTTGGCAGCCAAACCGTATTTCAGCCCAGTTGGAGCGAAATGCCGCACTTATTTCGTCTTGCCAATTTAAATATTCGAACCTGTGTAACGATTCTTCGACATAACTTTACAACAAACTCAACCGCAAGCAACAGCGGTTGGTTCGTAAAAAGGAAGAATTCAAAACTAAACTGTTTTGTAGTAAAAAAATTAAACACTAAAATCGAATTGTTAACTTTTTCGCGCCTAAATTATTGAGTGAATGAATTTTTACGAACTTTTTTTTCTAAACAGCCAGTGTTTGTGGTAGTGTGAAGTTTTTTTTATAAGCATGGATTCGTGGGGCATCTTAAACGTGGATACTGCGGCCATCGCTATATCGAGGGAGGGTGACTTGCAGAACAGTTTTCGGCGTAAACATCTCATTGTAAGTATTAAAATATAAAAAAACAAGTTTTTTCTCGTGCGATTTAAATATTATTTAGAAATTTACATTTCCTTAATACTAAACCAAATCTATTAGACCAGAACAAAAATATTATGGAATTTAATCATTTCGTCATAGTTTTCTACTTCAGATCCTTAGAATTTGTCTCTAAAAATCTAAAATTATACTTACTAGAGAAGGAGAACTTCTAATATAAATGAGGACACATACAGCAGCAGGGGAACACATAGGCAGTCGTTGATGGATTGCATGAGTGGTTCGCAAAGTGAGAACGATTTGAACGACGAAATCCTGGGGTATCAACTCTACATAGATGGCAGAGATTCAGTGATGGTGATTGACACAAGTAACCTATGTACATTATCACATTGACTGCCCAGGGCGTCGCGCAGTAAGGGTGCCAATCACACAATAAAAAGGGCATAGTAGAAGCCTCGCCCAGGGCGCTAGTTGGGCTAATATCGGTATTGCAGTACCGCAATATTGCTTTAAAAACAATTCAATGTTGATATATGCTAAAAGCTGTTTTTAAAATAAATTAACAACGAATGGCCTCGATCAACATGAAATCTTGCATTTGTTTTAATGAGAAAACATTCGAAAAACAATAAATTTCGTCCGACTTGATGGAAATACTTTGTAACGTAGAATTCCACTGCCACGACATAACATATATTGTCATCCCTTTCATTCTGTTTGACAAAAAAGAGATTGCGATATGTACTAGTACATTTTCCACCAACAGTGAATGTCTACTGTCAGGTCTGCTTACAGTCTACTCTTGGCAAGCGGGAGGTATTTCCTGGACGCATGACTCACCTCAGCTGAGGATTATTGGCATTTTTGTGCGGTCGGCTCCGAATTTTAATTACAAAATGGCTAATTATAGCGCTCGTCCAAATTCTTCGTCATTAAAATTGCTTTAGCTCTGTGTTTAATACAAAGTAATCGAATAACATTAAGAAAGTTTTCGATCCTACATATTATAATAATCTATATCTATACTATTATAAAAAAGCGTAAACCCACACTACATTGTTGCCTAAGATGTCAGCAATTACAGCATATTTTTGAATAACTCTTTTTTTATAAAAAGCCCTATACTTACGTCACGCTTTAGGCTATATATTTTCACGCCATTAAACTTAGGGGTAAATATTTTGGATAAAAACCCTAATGTGGGAGAGAGACCATAAGTTACCACCAACAGCAAGAAAGCAAAATTGCCAAGGTTTGCCATGTCATGTCATTTTGATATTTGCAATTGATAATTTGACATATGTAAATAATAAAATAAAATTTTCATAATTTTATGCGGACGAAGTCGCACAGGAACAGCTAGTTAACAAATATTTACGGTAAAGAGCTACATAGATATTGTGTATTTTGATTCATAATTCAAGACCCTAAGACACCAAAATTGCGCCATTTTAGTTTGTACAATTTTGTAAAAAGATAACATTGTAAAAGTAATACTCCACATCGCTTATTCACGACATTATAAAACTATTTAAAGTTTGTTCGTCCTATTTCGAAGCACAAAGGCTTCGGCGTTAAAATTGTGACGTCATTCTCCACATCAAAGAAGATTTCGCTGACGTTTTCTGAAATCTCGCAAGTGACGGATGCTTACAACTGAATTGTTTAGATGACTTTGTACTTGTTTAGAAATTAACAACAAAACTCTCGCCAATAAAGGGATAAGCAGATATTAGGAATTGCCATGTGGTAATGTCTCGCCACTTCCACATTTTAGAAATCATGTTTCCTAAGATATATAAATAATTTGAAGATTAGTGTCTGCTATTGACAATTTTTGTTAAGAAAAATAAAATAAAAACGCAGTTGTTCCTTTGGGAGTAGAATTTAATGCAAACGAGTTCTCGAAGTTCATCAAAAAGCTGCTATTTTCATCTAAATAAAAACCATTCTCAAGTTACAAAAGAGAAACCAGATTTTAGTAATTAAGAAATTAATCTTAATGAGAAACCTTTCTTGAAAATAAACTGTAAACATCCCCTTAGTAAATAAAGCGTTAAGTTGACTCTTTGTAACCTTGAGACATCGTAAAGAGAATAAAAAAATAATTCATTGTCAATATAGTCAAAGAATTTAATTCCCATCCCATTAACCATTAGACAAATAATAACCATAAGATTTCATGATTTTTGACCTATTTTCAGTGTAGATCTAACTAATATTACAAAAGTGAAAGTTTATATGGATGGATGGATGGATGAACTTATAGGCTACTCACTTTTTTTTTTAATTCCACGCGGACGGAGTCACGGGCGAAAGCTAGTATTGAATAAACGACCTTAACTGTATAATCATTCCCGCCAAAAAAATCTATTCAGATATAACCTAATTTTAAACCACAATTTAATTTCTCAACTCTTGTATAAGGCATTTGCAATCGTTTGCGCTACTGAGCTATTTGTAGGGAATTCGTTTGAAACTACACGGAAATAACCGACGCAAAATAGGTAAATAGGTACAGGTGATAGAACGTGCTAAAGGTGACAGAATTTAAAGTCGGTCCAGTAGTTTTTGAATAATTTCAATACAAACGGCACAGGTTTAGCTGGAAGAACACATAGGCTTTTTTATCCCGGGAATAGTTACGGTTCCCGTGGGATTCATTAATTGAATTTTTTAATCTTAACTCGATCATTCTGCTACGGTTCAACATATCTTATTGAAATGGCACAGTTATAAAACAAAATCTGGAGTACACATGGAATATCATCCCCGAGAAATGTCCGGTTCCCGAAGAATACGTAGCTCTTTGTTATTTATATAGTTTATATGTTTTCTAATACCGCGCGAACGAAGTCGCGGGCAACAGCTAGTATTTTAATAAAATTCATGCACGTACCCAAGCGGGGTTATTAGTTTAACAAATATGACGTCACGGTGGAACCTTTATGAGATTATACTTTGATCAGTGGACGCAGCGGACTGATGATCGCTTCGATTGAATTAAACGTGGACCTACTTCAATATAATTAAAATTATATGTTTATTTCATAGTAATGTAGTGTTTTTATGTGATAACTAACTTTTGTTCGCGACTCAGTCCGCGTGGAATTAAAAAAAAAACAAAACTAAGTAGCCTTTGTGTTCTTCCAGACTATCCTCTACATCCATACCAAATTTCATCGAAATCGGTTCATCCGTTTAGGCTATAAACTTTAACAAACATCCATCCATCCATCCATCGCATTTATATTAGTATGAACAGAAGAATTACGACTGAAATAAAACAAAGATCTGAGAGTCGGAAACTGGTACATTTACCCCATATACAGAAGTTCTAGACTTTTCCACGTCACTAGATCACTAGGATATAGTAGTAATTTTGATTGCATGAAACTAAACTTCCTAAATATCAATTGATTTTAAATAAAAGTCGACGTAAAGATCTTTATAATTAAAAACGCGCGCACACCTTTGACAAAACTATCGCACATCTGTTTAGTCGCACTGTGATTCCTTTGAGCTTATTTGGAGGTACACACTACTCGATTTTTTGTTGTGCAACTAAACAGTTGAATTGACTGCGAGACAATCGACAATCGAACAGTTGTGCGATGCTTTAGTCAAAAGGGAGCGCCTGTTCTAAAATTTACGACTAGCAATAAGCATATGGACTGTAAAAAAGATGTCCGATGTCATAAAATATTCTACATTTTTACGATCGTGCATGAAATTTACATAACATGTAAGAAGGGACGCGTATTCCTATTTCGTATTTTTCCCTCGTCTTTAAATCGAAACGGCAATGGGGGAGGAAACCTTCAAGGGGTTTTATTTTACTCTTTTATCCGTTTGTATTCTCACAAGAATTCTTTGAAAACAGTCTTAAAATTCCTAGACAATAATAAAACAGTGAATGCTAAAATGGTCTTATCCTCAAATATTAAACGCTTTATACAAATCTATACTAGTATAATAAAGCGTAAACACACACTTTTGTGTGGCGTAAGATGTCAGAAACCACAGTATATTTTTGAATAATTCTTTGTTTAATAAAAAGCCCTACACTTACGTCACGCTTTAGGCTATAAATTTTCACGCTATTAAACTTAGGGGGTAAGTAAATTGTATAAAAACCATAATTTGAGAAAGGAACCAAAAGGTACAAGCTGCCAACATCAAGGAAGTAAGGTTGCCATGGATTGTCATCATGTCATTTTGATATTTGCAATTAATAATTTGACAAATGTAAACAATAAAATAAAATTTGAATAAATTAATGCGGATGAAGTCGCATGGGAACGACTAGTGGTATACTAAAGGGCAATTACAATCATGATTTTTACTAAATTAATTTACTGCTTCTATTTACCCAATTTTGAGTTTAGAAGGAGTCTACTGCCTTATCATCTTTTACCACATTGATTGCGTTACAAGCTGTAACATCTGTCCGTGCATCTAATGCGGGAAAAATAAATTAAATTCGTGGTGCGGGGGACGTAACTTCTATCTGGTTTAGGAGACATAACTATAGATGATAATCTTTTAGGACGTTGCGTGATGATACTAACCTTGCCTCGCGGATCGCGTCGACCCAGTGCACGCAGTCAACTTCTGAGGCGGCTCGCAGCTCATATTGCCGCTGGCTCTCGCGACGGTACGATATTGTGAAGCAGAACTGGCATAAAAACAAATAAATCTTATAAAGTCTATTCATATAAAGAAATTGGAACTTTTATCTCTTTATTAATGTTTAGGATCGGGTTAATAGTTTTAAAACCTTTTAATAATCTTATGTTATTTATATCATAGGTAAAAGAACTGTTATATGACATGGCTTAAAACAGTATAATGTCAACTCAATGGCGTTTATTTACTCTACATTTTGAACTGGAATAAACTGATAATATAATTACGGTTTATAACCGACAGTAAATAGTTAATTTATCCTCTCAGTGGTTGTAACATAACACCTGACTGCACTGAAACCGCAACGCCAC